ATGTTTTTTTTTCTGTCCTCTGATAAGCATTGTTCAGGGCTGCCATTCCCAAAAGCTTTAATGCTTTTTTATGATACTTTTGGGAAACGCAGCCCTGTTTGAATGCACTGTCAGCAGTGAGTGAATGCTCTCTGTGATTGATTGGTTCTGTCTTGCAACATTTGCGTGTGTTCAGATGAGCAGGAAAATAGTTCTATCCTACACAATTACTCGCTAACAAAGGTTATTCGTCCAATTCAATGCATATTGTACGCATTATTATTATTATTATTTTTGTTAAATAAACAAAACCACTGGTAAATAAAATGCACCTTAGTATCGATATTTTTTGTTTGATGTTTGAGTATCGATACTTTCGATACTCGCGTCAGTATCGATATATCGATACTTTGTATCGATACGCCCATCCCTAATCTGAAAGAGCTATCATCAAGCAAAACCCACAATACATTTCAGCAATCCTCAACAGACTAAATGCCTCACCTCGACTGTAGGTTTTTCTCGGTTAATCTCAGCTGATTTCTCAAGGAAACAACATCCTCTACCAGCCCCCTGTTGTCTTTGAACATTTGTGATTGTCATGAAGAGCGCTGTAAATAAATGTTATCTTTGTTTAAATGGACTTGGCTAAAAACCAACACTGAACTCGCACCATAGTTCTTGCTTTAAACACTTTCGAGTTATCATACCTAATGTTACTGTATACTCAAATGATTTGGCTTCATTTCATATATTCAACAGGTTGTCAAGGAGCCGACTGACCCTCAATCATAATTTTTCAGCTCTCCGCTGCTTTTCGGTGGATTAATTAACAAGATATTTCTATACTATTGAATACCTGCTCATCAGCATGTTCAAAAACAGCAGTTATGCAGAAGACCTTATTTCCAGAAGATTTAGCCTAGCATTCACTGCATTATTTGAGATCTAAACAAAACGCGCTGCCGTCGTCGCTTCAGTTGATTGGCTGAGACGAAAAACCGTCCTCAACAGTCGTGACGTAACACTGAAGTGCTAGGGCCGCGAATGTCAGCGGCGAATATTACAGCGGTAAAGTTTCACTGTTGCGGTTTCCTTTATATTTTTATTGACATTGTACTGTATGATGGTTAACAACAGCCGTTATTGCTTTGTTTATTTGTTAGGTTAAAGTTTGCCAATAGATTTGAAGGGAAAAATGTTTGGTTGTTATAAACAATCTCTGTTCGCTTGATACATTCACCGTCAATTATTTATTGCAGCAAATAAATTAGCAGGGCCATAAAATGTTAATTGCGTGTTATGAATGCATTTTTCTATTTTTCTCCAATGTGTTAATATGCATACAGTAAATAAATATGCAAATACATTAGATTAGATTATTATTTATTGTCATTGTACTTACATCCAACGAATTTGCCAACGTATCCAGCTAAAGAATTTAAACAATTAATAAGGAATAATTAAATAAATACCATATTACACATAAGGGAAAAAAATAAAGAATAATAATAATAATTTTACACCGTGCTGAGTAAAATAAAGTGCTCAATGCTCAATATAATTACACATGACTGGTTATTCTTACATGTCAAGAATGTATTTTCAGTTCAGTGTTCAGTATGGTTATAGCTTTAGGATAAAAATTGTTCATGAATCTTGTGGTACGTGTTTTGATAGACCTGTAACGTTTCCCAGATGGCAACAGTTCAAATAAGTTATGTGCAGGGTGATATGAGTCCTGCGTTCAGCTGCAGAGCTACTTCCATACCACACCAGCATACCATATGTGAGGATACTCTGGATGGAGCAGCGGTAGAATGACAACAAGAGCCGTTGTGACAGGTTAACCTTCCTGAGCATTCTTAAAAAGTATAGCCGCTTCTGAGCCTTCTTAACTAAAGCCGTGATGTTTATCGTCCATGTGAGTTCCTCTGAGATATGTGTGCCCAGAAATTTAAAACTGAACACTCTCTCCACCATCTCCTCGTTGATATACAATGGTGTATGTACATCCTGTTTCCTCCTGAAATCAATAATAAGTTATTTTGTTTTCTTGGTGTTCAGGGCCAGATTGCTCTCCGTGCACCACACCATCAGCCTCTTTATCTCCTCTCTGTAGGCAGACTCATCGCCTCTGGTGATCAACCCCACCACAGTCGTATTGTCCGTGAATTTGATAATAGTGTTGGTATTATACGATGGTATACAGTCATGTGTATACAGAGAATAGAGAAACAGGCTTAGCACACATCCCTGTGGGACTCCTGTGCTGATTGTCAAAATTGAGGAATTGAGGAATTATGTGAGCCCATTCTCACTGACTGTGAGAATGTTAAAAAAAAAGTTTAACTCTGTTAAAAAGTCCTTGATCCACAGGCAGATGTTATGCTGAATGCCTAGATCAGACATCTTGGAGAACAATCTGCTAGGTAAAATAGTATTAAAAGCAGAATTGAAGTCCAAGAACAACAGCCGTGCATATGTTCCTTTGTGTTCTAGATGGCACAGTACAGTGTGGAGGGCAATGGTTATAGATTTGCCAACGTATCCAGCTACAGATTATTTAAACAATTGATAAGGAATAATTAAATAAAATAATTAGTTAAGGTTTCTGTGCCTTAACTAATGCCATGATGTTTATCGTCCATGTGAGTTCCTCTGAGATATGTGTGCCCAGAAATTTAAAACTGAACACTCTTCTCCACCATCTCTTCGTTGATATACAATGGTGTATGTACATCCTGTTTCCTCCTGAAATCAATGTTATTTTGTTTTCTTGATGTTCAGGGCCAGATTGTTCTCCGTGCACCACACCATCAGCCTCTTTATCTCCTCTCTGTAGGCAGACTCATCGCCTCTGGTGATCAACCCCACCACAGTCGTATCGTCCTCGAATTTGATAATAGTGTTGGTATTATACAATGGTATACAGTCATGTGTATACAGAGAATAGAGAAACAGGCTTAGCACACATCCCTGTGGGACTCCTGTGCTGATTGTCAAAATTGAGGAATTATGTGAGCCCATTCTCACTGACTGTGGCCGCTCTGTTAAAAAGTCCTTGATCCACAGGCAGATGTTATGCTGAATGCCTAGATCAGACATCTTGGAGAACAATCTGCTAGGTAAAAAAGTATTAAAAACAGAACTGAATTCCAAGAACAACAGCCGTGCATACGTTCCTTGGTGTTCTAGATGGCACAGTACAGTCTGGAGGGCAATGAAGATAGCATCATCTGTTGACCTATTGGCCCTGTATGCATACTGGTGAGGGTCCAAGGTGAGTGGCAGAGCAGCCTTGATGTGATGCAGAACCAGTCTCTCCAGACATTTCATGATTACAGATGTCAATGCAATAGGTCTGTAATCATTGAAAGATTGCAGCCTGTTTTGGCACTGGCACTATTGTGGACGTCTTCAGGCAAGTTGGAACAGTGCACTTCTACAGAGAAAGGTTGAATATATTTGTAAATACCTCACCCAGCTCTGCAGCAGTCTCTGAGGACGCGCCCAGGGATGCCATCCGGACCAGCTGCTTTCCATGTGTTGATTTTACGTAGAGTCCTTATCACCTCAGCAGGCTGAATGACAAATGTCTGGTTGTTTGCAGCAGAAGCTTGACTGATAGTCCCAGTTCTTTTCACTTCAAAGCGGCTGAAGAACTGGTTAAGCTGCTCTGCCTCTGAAGCACTGCTGTTGGTCAGGCTACTACTGTTATTCTGTCCAGTGATGTAGCGAATCCCCTGCCATGCCCGGCGGGGGTCCAAGTTGGTGAAATGATTCTCGATTTTCTGCCTGTAGGTAATTTTTGCATCCCTGGTGCCCTTCTTTAGGTTCATCCTGGCTGTGTTGTACTGCTGCATGTCACCAGGTCGGAGAGCTGAATTACGGGCCTTCAGCAAAAGTACATTCTTGGTCATCCACGGCTTGCTGTTAGGAAAGATGTGAATCGGTTTCATAATGGTCACATTATCTATACAGCATTTTATATAAAATAGCACAGAAGATGTGTAGATGTCAATGTTATCATCCACAAATACAGCAGGGCCATTGACATTTCTTAAATTATTTCTTTAATTTTTGACCAAATAGTATGGGTCCAAAACATCTCAAAGCATTCAAAAACACCAGTTACACCGATACATTTTTAGATCTTTATTCTTTGGCTAAAGGAGTCTGCTCAAAGCCAGGAAAATCCAAAGCAAGCTTTACTAACACTGGTACACCAACTGAATTATGCTTCATACAAATAACATAAGAGCTTAATATTTATAAGAATTTGTTGTATCAAAATCAGGAGGTATCCTGAGTAGTCCAAAACTTGCCTGATTCCAATACTACTTCCACCCTCTTCAAGTGGTTAGGTAATATTATTGAGAACAGGGCATTCTCAGGTCCCAAAAAAAAAAAAAAAAAAAGGTTTTCCACCAAAAATTTCATACAACTTAAGAATTTTAGAAATGTATGAAAATACACAGCCAAGAACTGAAAATCTCATTTGGAAGTCCTATCAAATCTTAGATTGAAGTTGTAAATTATCCTGAGTGCTCATGTGAATTGACAATTTGTTAGTGTACACTGTTTGAATGCAATAAATAGCACTACAAAAAGCCTGAGTCAATTGTAACAAAAATATTGCTGCCATTTTCTGATTGTAACATGAAGCTGAAGCTGCAAAACAAAACAAAACAAAAATACACAGGTCTGTTGAATTAGTTGCATAGTATAACAGAAAGTATTAAAAAAATAAGACTAACCCTCCATTATAAAAATGAAAATTAGACATCTGATTTAAAATTGTATAAATGAGGAAAATAAACTAAAACAGCACTTAGCCTAGAAAAAAAAAAAAAAACTTTAAAATTCCCATGGCTGATATTAACAGATTTTTTTTTTTAAGGGAAGGATATACGAAGACCTCCTAACGCTACAGCGCTCTGTCATATGCTTTTAACAGATATATATAAAAAAATAAAAAAAAACCTTGAGACAAAATTATATATATATATATATATATTAAAAAAACTTTGATTAGCCTTCTGGAAATGTGGAATGTCTCCAAAAATACCAAGATCTTATGTAAATATTAATGCTACTCATTTATTTAATTTTATGTTTTGTGGCAGGAGAATAATTAACCATTTTCCATTGTTTTTTAACATCATAATCTCATTTTATAATCAAATTCACAAGCTAGGCTGTTTAAACTGAGATGACACAATACTGGATGTACATGAGCTTCTGTGCAATCAGTTGAAATGTAAATAAAAGTGCCCTATTGACAATAGCGCTCTTTCCTCTTGGCAATTCGAGCTATGAGAAAATATTTAACTGAATAAGGAGAAAAAATCTTGTCTCCAGCAGCATATAGGATCTGTTTTGCAATCCCTTAAGGCACCTACACATCAGAGACAAAAAGCAAGGACTTGGGTTATTTTCACATAGTAGTGAATTGATCATGTCTTCAACCTGAAACTACAGCCACCTTCAATGTGTAAATCCAGTCCACTTGAAGGCAGTCTGTTTCAATTTCCACAGAGACAGGTCACATACACAAAACTCTACAAAGTCCCATTTCTTCATTATAGTCCTGAGGACCTTCAACTATATCAGTCAACCATATACATTTGGGCACGATCACTGCTCTTCTCTCATTACAGGTTATGTATTTATTGTCAAGAAATTAAGTACATTAGACCCATGTGAAACTCAGGAGGCAGTGACGCCCTCCCATTCCACCAAGTACTGTACTTTGCCGTCATTAGTGACACGGCGAGCGAGCACACGGTACTTCTCCCCACAGGCCAGGCGCCCTGCAGCTCCGAAGTAAGTGCTGATGGAACTCTTGAGGTTGTTGAGCTGGGTGTTGGGGTCCAGGCCCTGCATGATGTCCATGCCACTGTAGAGGCAAGAGGGGAGGGGGCTGGGCTCAGGGACATTGTTGCTGGGTTGCAGCTCTGGGTTGCAGGGTGGAGGAATCTCTGGATTTGGGGGCTGCAGTGCTCGTCGTGGACGTCCCCGGCGTCTCTTAATTGGCGGTTGCGTGATGGTGGACCATAAGCATCCAGTGCGTGGTCCACTCGGACTGCCCAAACTGGAGATGAACAGGGTACACATATCAGGCAAAACAAGTTATAATCTGCTTTTGAAAAATGAAGCATGAAGTTCTTTATCTATCATAGAGGTCAGCAAGAGCATTAAGTTTGACGTCTGAACCTCACACATAAAAGAGACTAGAGTTTTGTGCACAAAAAAAAAAAAAAAAAAAAAGTTTAAATTAAACCTTAAAACAAAAAAAAATACATTTCTTAAAATAATTTTTATACATTTCATGAATTTCAAACTCACAAATGTACTGTAATAAAGTCCAGACGTGATCAGCTAGAAAAAAAAAACGAAACAAAAAAAAACTTGAAAATCTGACCACGTCCCCGGCACCTATTATTTAAAAAAACATTTTTATCACATTAAAAGATATATCTTACATCTTAATATTAATAAATACTATTGCCCTGTAAAAATAAAACACAGCATTTAATAAACATGATAATAATTAACATAATATAACATGTATTAATAGAATTGTTAATATTAAAGTACCTGCCAAAAGTTTAGAAACAGTTAATGATTTTGAAATAAAAAAAATTCTGCTCAACAAAGCCGCATTTAATTGATCAAAAATAAAGTAAAAACCGCAATATTGTGAAATATTATTACATTAAAAAAAGTTTTCTATTTTAATATATTATAAATTGTAATTTATTCCTGTGATGCAAAGTAGAATTTTCTGCATCATTACTCCAGTTTTTAGTGTCATACTATCTTACAGAAATCATTACAATTTGATTTGATGCTCAAGAAACATTTCTGATTATTATCTGTTGAAAACAGTTGTGCTGCTTCATGTTTTGTGTGGAAATGGTGATACATTTTATTTTTCAGGATTCTTTGATAAATAGTAAGTTCAATGAAAAGCATTTATTTGCATTTATCAAATATATTTCTTAAATTTATTAAAGCATTTATTAAATAAACTAAAAAGTAGAGCCCGACCGATATATCGTTTTGCCGATTTTATCGGCCGATATGAGCCTGTCGCAGATATATCGGTATCGGCGAATATGCCGCCGATATGAAAACTTTTTTCAGAACATAAAATGCTTGTAAATGGTGTAATTACGTAGTTTGTCCATTGTTTGCTGGATGCTCCATTGTTTGAGACCTGGATGAAACGCTTTAAAGCTTAAGTGTATGGAATACCATTGAAATTTTGAACGGCCCAATTCCCAATTATTTATATTCATGATTACTAGTATTTGTACAGGCTTTACATTTTTAGTTCAATGTTGTAATTAGCAATTCATGTAATTTTATCTTTGAAGCAGATTTGTTATGTGACAGCATTATTAAAGTTTCTTAAGGGTCAAGATCATGTTATCTGCATCTCCTGTGCTCCATGAAGCCAACGATCAGCAATGCAGCGATTGGCTGGCGGCAAGACAGCAACGTAATGACATCATATAATTAAAAAAGACACCTGACGAAAAACTTGACAAATTTCTGGACCTTTATAAGGAAACAGTCAAGTGAACAAAACTACATAAATGTAATAATAGATACATTAAATGTGCACTGTTTTTATTTTATTTTATATTTTTTACACGATTCCCAATTATTTATATTCACGATTTCTAATATTTGTACAGGCTTTACATTTTTATTTCAATGTAGTAATTAGCAATTCATTTAATTTTATATTTGAACAGATTTGTTACGTGACAGCAATTATTAAAGTTTCTTAAGGGTCAAGATCAAGTTATCTGCATCTCCTGCGCTCCATCAAGCCACTCCCATAATAGCTGTCAGCACTCAAATTAATGCACGACTCAGATTAACTGTATGTGTGTAAGACTCTAATACAATTATAGAGTTATTATTTTATCACGAATAAATCTTTCAATGAGTAAAACTGGCTGTCTATAGTATTATAGATTACACAACATAATAATAATATTTTCAAATTAATTTTTAAATTATTATTATTTTAATTTATTGTCCCCGGATTAGTAGGGTACTCTTGTAATAGTGTAGCAGTGGCTGGGATAGATTTTAAATATCAGTTCCACTTAAAAAGATGCAATCTAATCCTGTTTACATGAAATAAGCCTGCTCCCGAGCAGGTTTAAGCTTACGGACCTGTTGCTATGACAGCAAGTCCAGGATGAGCTTCGAAGAACCAAATAATCCAAGATCATGTCAAATCGTCGACAATCAAATCCAGCTAACTGAGTTAGCGATGTACGAAGAACGGGTCCCAGTTCACATTTACAACTCTGCGTGTTTGCAGCGTAAAAACCTCTGCCAGCAGGAGGCGCTTTTGAAGCGGCAGAAATACAGCGGTTTCCCCGGTAACGGCAGAACACAAAGCAGCGCAGCAGCTAACTTTAAAAGGTGCAGCGCTCCTCTTTATTTAATAAATTCATAGCCTTTTGAAATGTAATCGTTCCATTCATCCATATCGCAATTTTTGTCTTTTCCTCCCCAAATTTAAGACCTCTTGAAATCATAATTAAGACATTCTTGCTCCATTTAAGACTTTTTATGGCCTTAAATTTATTACAACTAAATGTAAGACTTTTGAAGGACCCGCGGAAACCCTTGGATTAATCTGGAAGAATCACATCCCTGAGAGCCTTTTTAAAAGTGAAAATAAGATTATATTTATCAATTATATAAAGTCTGTATAAAATTCTAATTTATGAATAAAAAAAAACAAAAATTGTTTATAAATTAATATAAACCATCATTCAAAACTTTGAGAACAATTTCTTCTTAATATCAATGTTGAAAACAGTTTTTTTCTTTCGTTGATGAATAAAAATTTCACAAGAACAGCATTTATTTATAAAGGAAATATTTTGTAACATTATAAATGTCTTTACTCTAACTTTTGATCAATTTAATGTGTCCTTGATGAATAAAAGCATTAATATTTTTCTGGCCCTAAACTTCTAAATAGACCAATTTCATATTTCCGGGTTTTTGGCTTCCAGACTGACCCACGCTGGGTAAACTTATTTCCGGTAGGTTAAAAGCGATGACTGTGCCTAACAAGAACTATTTATTAAATATCATGAGTGTTTGAATTGTCTTGATTTATGGGTGAGACTGCAAAGCTCTTATTAAGAGACAAATTTAAGAACTTATTCTAAATGTTGGCACTTAAATTGATTTATAGGCTATCATTCTCCGTGTCAGTGCGGATATGCATTATAACACTCCATGTGAAAACTTCAGCTCTTTTCGCGATGTGCTGGGGAAATCATCGGCTAGCAGCTCCCTTCACACACACACATGATCCGCTGATACTGTACATATTGAGAAGCCAGACTAGATCGCACCCTGGATGCGTGCATGTTTCTGGACATATCATAAACGGTAACACTTCTGTCAACTCTCAATTACTTTCATCTTATTCACTCACATATGCTCCTGTCGCCATCATCTAAAATCTGTGAGTATGCACAGTTTTATAAAAAACAACAACAGTAGTAGTAGTAGTATATATTGTTGCTGTTGCACATTTCATAGTTGCTCCGCTTACTGTAGATTAATGCAAAGACTGCAATTAATGTTGTATGTGGTCTTGGAAATAAACGATGTGTTAGTTTAATTTTAATCTGTCAATATTCATTATAATATTGAATGCGGGATATAATGTTGTGAGATTAATGCTATAGGACTATATTTAAAGCATACCAAATTCGCGACAATATTTTAATCCTGACAGAATATAACGGTGAAAACAAGACATCATATATTGATTTAAATAAGCAATTAGATCATTATTGCAGTGATTAATATGTTTCTGGTATATGTTTGGCAACATTATTTTAACTCTAATGCAGTGAGTAGCTTTTCATCTAACCTACATATTCCAGGATGACAACACCATGATTTTGAAAGAGTTATTCAGTGTATGAATACACATACACCCTTTGTGTGTACGCACACAAAAAAAAAACAG